TGTGCCGCTGCCCTTTCTCTCTTAAATGGTACGTTGGCATTTAGCTTCACACGTGTCAGCGGAACACACATCTCTCAAGAATTTGCACCCAAAATGTGTGGAAGTGTGTGTGCCCACATCAACACAGAGGATTTGTTCCCAGAGAGAGGAAATAAGTGTGCGTGTGTGTGCGAACCTAAAGTCAGAGAGAGAGAGGTGATGATAAGACAGAGAGGAGCAGATACACATGCACATTACATTTCACAGAAAGACAATTTACATTTTGAGTCCATATTATGTTAATTTTGAGTGGCCTCTTCAGATAATTCTATTACACAGATAGTTCTACCATGTCGTCCAGGGCAGAAACATCATTTCACCCTGGAACACACACCTTGCTGACGAGCTCCGCAACATGAAGGAAAACAAGGGCTAAAGGCAGGTGGGTGTGTATCTGGTGTTGTGTTGGGGAAGGGATGTGTGTTCACGGAGGCTTGCAAAGAGCGACTTATCTAAACGAATTGTGATCCACTGAAATGGTTTATCGGTTTCTCTTTCAATACAGGATATGCTGCGAGAGAGTGCAGTACACAGTAATACAGCTTCTAGGAAAGCATATCGCTGCTGCAATCCCACGAGCAACCAAACTGCTGTTATTCCCTGTCATTCTGCCACAATTCTCCACTGGCTCGGCACTGCAGGCCTGGAAGATATAGCCTCGGATGTCGACTATTATCGGGAAATATTTGCTTTCCACTGTGTCTAGAGAGCAAACAGGAATCCAACCTAGAATTTATTGTGCGATCAATTCTAAAAACATGCATTTTCAAAAAGAAAGAAGGGGCAAAGCGACAGGATTTTGGTAACGGTAACATTCTGGTTTCCTTATGTAGTCAAAGCAGTATTGGCCAAACACTTCGAGTAGACATTGGTTAATCCGTGTGGAGAGCATGGCAGGTAAAATACAACCTGGTAACTAATTGTCAACTATCGTCTAAGGATTTGTTTTCTTATTATTGACCTGAATATCAATTCTTCACTGGCTTCATGTTACGTTTGGGTTAGATGACGCGTCTCGTCTTCATTTTTACATCTAAAATTGGACTTTTATCAATGGCCAATGCAAGGATTATTAATTATTGGCCATTCAACCTTTGGTCCAAACCATTACTTCAGGGACCTCTTCCTGGAACCAAGTGCAGCCAGTATTCGGCTCAAGTAAAAAAGATAGTCCATCCTAATTGGGCTTACAAACATAAACAGTGACACGGGTGGGTATGCGGGAAGCTATTTTAGGTCAGATTTGGCTGCTGTAAAAAATAAATGTGAGTGACGGCTGATGGTATAGTCAATGAGATATTTTTTTTTAATCCAGGTGTGCTGTAAACCAAATTCTTAACAACTATTTATTTAGTATAGATTAGTTCTAATAAAAACTTCTTAAAAGTGATATGTGGTTTATCCTCAATCAGCTGTCCAAAACATCTCCAGGATTCAAATAGCTTGAACACTGGACTTACTTGAGGTTAACACCCTTCAAAACCCATTGATTTGCTCTCTCAAACATGAAAAGCTAGACTGTCCCATGTTAATATGCCGCCCGACATGATTCCAATCATTTACAAGGACCAAGGACCTTATATAGAAAAAATAGGGATCATATCCACTTTGTTATAGGTTTTTTTATGATTATCTTTTTGTTATCTTTCTCATTTGTTTCTTCCCCTTCTTGGAAATATACCTTTCAGGCACTCTATTAACTGTTATGTTTCGTCTTGCTGAAAATGAGTCCAAACACTTCACGTTTCTCTGTGGCCTGTCAGAGGCCACTTCCTCTGGCCTCTCCATCTCTCTGAGCAAGTAGGGATCATTAATGAAGTGGCCTTCTCATGGATATTGACTAGCCTGTCAGCTGGCCTGCCACACTCACTAATAGGACCCATTGGTCTTGGCTTAAGACCTGACAAAGAGGAGGCTGAAAAGGAGGAAAATGAGTGAACATGTTCCTTCACCTCAAGATGGGTTTTGGCTTTAGCCTTCAACCAGCAAAGTTGGAGTCTGGGCTACATGCAGCCAAGGTTTCTCCTCAGTCAACTTCCTACACTTGCTAAGTGAGAGGTGAAAATGTTGCTTTATAATGCCACATCTGCTAGTAGAATGTATGCAAAGCCACAGTGGGTGTTTTAGGAATGTAGAAAGCCAAGAGAGCTCATTAAAATAGAAGTGATGGTAAAATGGCACTCTTTAGAGCCCCAGGGTTTTTTAGGACTTTTTGTGAATTTTAGTAACTATATGTGACATTTTATTATGAATAAATGGCCATGTTTCACTGGTTGATATAACGGGGGGTTATGTATTGTAACCCTAGTTCTATAAGCACAGGCAGAGCCCTCTACTGGACTCTATGGGTACTACTCTCATCAATGATACGAGAGTGTTCACACACTGAAGTTGTATAAACGTAGCCGGCCAATCAGGGCGAGCCTACCTGAATGCATATAAGGCAGCTACACCTCCTGACTGTCATCCTACACCCTCTTCAGCGAGCGGCATAGGAAAGACAGGGCCCCTAGGTAGAGTGCTTCGCCTGTGCTTATAGAACAAGGGTTACAATACGTAACCCCCCCATCTCACACAGGCTCCGCCGTCTACTGGACTCTATGGGTATAGTGGGTGGAGCCCCTGCCACCGTCAAGCTGTATAACCTTCGACCTGGAAGAACTCCTTAGGTTCTTGGGAAAAGAGGAGGGGTTCGGTCTGAGTGTCGCCCTGCTACGGTCACCACAAACCAGAAGGCAACTCGGGTGCACCGATAGAGCGGTCAGCTCGCATAATCTCTTGGCAGAAGTCAAAGCAAGCAGCAAAGCTGTTTCTTTTTGCTTCTCTCTCTGTCAATGATAGCGCCTAGGAGAGCTCCATAGGCTCAAACGGTTCCGTAACCAAAGCCTCGGGCACCAATGGCAGTTCCCATTGCGGGGTGGAGACATGCACCACTGGGCGCTGTCTCCTGATCCCCTGCAAAAAACGCTTCATAAGCGGTTTGCTAAAGACTGGTCTGCCGCCAAATCCCGCATGACAGGACGAGATGGCTGCTGCATACACCTTGACTGTGGCATGAGCAAGCCCCGTGTCCATCAGTAGCTATAGCCAGGATAGAATAGAGCCCAATGTACCGGACAGAGGCTCTGGACGAGTGGTACTCAACCTTGTCCTAATCAGGAGCCACATTGACGAAAAAATATTTTTGCAAGAGCCACAATCCAAAAACGCTCCTTTCCTCCCTGAAACCTTTATGCATTTGAGAATATGGATAATAGTAATATGTTACTTAAGAATGAAAAGCATAATGTACAGTGCAATAACTGTGATTTCTTATTTTCACTGCAACCACAAAACACACAAAACACACTGTACATTATGCTTTTCATTCTTAAGTAACATATTACTATTATCCATNCTCAGTTCCGGGGGCGCTGTCTCAGGAAGCGGGTGCATTAGGGGCGTTACCCACTCTGAGCAAACCTCTCCAGGCTTGGCCCCTGAGAGGGAATGGCTGAGAAGGGGTGGACTGCCTGACAAAGTTATACAGACTATCCAGGCAGCAAGAGAGGGATCCACCACAACCTGTTACAGGAAGAAGTGACTGGGATTCCTACAGTTACTGGAACTGGTACAGCCGGGCGATTGGTTAACAAACCATCGACCTGAGGGAAGCATACTTTCATGTCGAAATTGCTAGAAAGCCAAAACACAGGAAGTATTTGCGTTTTGCCTTCCAGGGGATAGCCTACGAGTACAACAGACTACCGTTCGGCTACTCCCTGTCCCCACGCACGTTCAGCAAATGTGTGGCCACAGCGCTTCAGCCGATTCGCGGCCATGGCATGAGGGTTTTATTTTATCTCAACAACCTCGTAGTCATGGCCAGGTCCAGGGAATGGGCAGATGTTCCACACAGCCCAATTGATCTTACACCTAACCAAGTTGGGAATTTGCAGTCAATTGGAAGAAGAGCAGTCCCATACCTCACCAGCAGGTGGGGTATCTGGGGATTTTGCTCAATGCCGCCCCCATCGAGCGAGGGGTATGCCCCCATCGCGAGCGAGGTGTAAGCCCCATCGAGAAGGAGGGCAGGCTACGTGCCACTCTGTCAGAGGAAAGACAGACGTGGTGCGAGGAAGGGAGTCTAGAGCCTCTGCCCGGTACATTGGGCTCNTGCCCAACTTTACAGCAGAAATACACGTTTACATCGTGGTTAAAAAAAACACATTCTCTGTATAGTTAGATTCACCCTTCATGACTTTACCGGCCACACCATCCCCAAAGCTCACAAACAGCTGTTCAGTGCGCCTAATGGAAGCTGTGCGCCCTACATAACATGCCAGCGCACAAACCGGGCAGAGGAGGTGCAATTTAGCCTCCCTGTCCCCAGTATGGGGTGGAAGACTAAAGCCGTCTAACTGTATAGCCCTCGACCTGAACGAACTCCTTAGGTTCTTGGGAACATAGGAGGGGTTCGGTCTGAGTATCGCCCCGCTACGGTCACCCGAATCAAAAGGCAACTCGGGTGCACCGACAGAGCGGTCAGCTCGCACACTCTCTTAGCCGAAGTCAAGGGAAGCAGCAAAGCTGTTTTCAATGATAGTGCCTTCAGAGCCTCAAACACTAACGGCAGATCCAATTGCGGGGTGGAGACATGCACCACTGGGCGCTGTCTCCTGACCCCCTGCAAAAGACGTGCCATAAGCGGTTGGCTAACGGTTGGTATGGGACTGCTCTTCTTCCAATTGACCGCAAACCCCCAACTTGGTTAGGTGTAAGATCAATTGGGCTGTGTGGAACATCTGCCCATTCCCTGGACCTGGCCATGACTACGAGGTCGTTGAGATAAAATAAAACCCTCATGCCATGGCCGCGAAGCGGCTGAAGCGCTGTGGCCACACATTTGCTGAACGTGCGTGGGGACAGGGCCCACCTGCTGCTTCCTTTACTGGAGTTACAGGGGGCGGCGAGTGTGGGACAGTGTTCTCTCCTCTGAGGATGAGCAAGAAGCAGCATACGGCCAAGCTGCGACTTCTCCTCATCCATGTGACCAAGGAAATCGATCCAAAGAGCCCTTCCGTAGACACGGGGGCTCCCAGGAGATCATCACGGTCTTTTTTTGGAAAGTGCCACGTGGCTTGATCCCACTGTGGCCAGGGACTTCACACGGCAAGCAGCGGCGGCCACACCGTGGACCAGGATATTAATTTGGCCGATGCTGCGGCCAAATAATCGCTCTGATCCGGTGAGGTGGGGGCATCTTGCGGAAGAGCAATCAGCAAGACGCCCAACACACCCGTGTTATTTGCAGCCGCCCTCTCACGCGGCAGCGGGGCAGAGGTTCTCCGCCCAGCCTGCTGAATGTGCCTCGGCCATATCCTGGTCCCCCAAACACTCGAAGCAGAGGTGGTGGGGATCGGCACCCACTATTAAGCCAGGGCACGAAGGACAGGCCCGGGTCTCGAGAAGTGGCGACTCCATGAAGGTATGATAACTTCTTTCTTCTTCTTTCAAACGTTTTACTTTTCTCTGTCAGGTGTTGTCCTGCTCGCTGAAGAGAAAAGGATGACAGTCAGCAAGTGTAGCTGCCTTATATGCGCGCGCATTCAGGTAGGCTCACCCTGATTGGCCGGCTACGTTTATACAACTTCAGTGTGTGAACGCTCGCGTATCATTGATGAGAGTAGTACCCATAGAGTAGAGCGCGGAGCCTGTGTGAGATAGAACATCACAAAGTAAATTAAACACAATATAGAAGTTTGTCTATATGGCCAAGTATGTAGTAAATATGCCCATATTTAACATGCCCTGTGGCCTGGGAAAGAATGTGACCGAACAGATTGCCTCTTCTTGACAGTACTCTCTGAGCGAGCACGTTATCTTGTTGAGCCGTGAATTAGAAACCCAGAATGAAGCTCTTTAGTCACAGTAGTGCATTGTGTTGCCATTTAATTGTTTCCTTAATTCTTATTATTGGTGAGCCAGAATACCGTCCAGAGCTATTTGGAGGTGGTTCTTTAACCCACCCAGCTACTAAACATGTGTGTAGTCTTGCCAGGCCATTTACTCATGCTGACTATGAAAAAAGGCCAACAATTGTTGATAGTATTTATTAAAAATTAACAATATTATTAAGTAGCGCTTGGCCACCGAGTCTTCTGCTGAGGGAATCAAATGCTTCTCTTTCTGCTTAAGTCTTTTTAGTGATGCTACATGTCATGATATATTGATATATATAGCTTAACGTTACTGTTCTAATATAATATACTGCCATATTTAAATGAATGACACTGTGTAAATGACTGAATATTTATCTCTTTCCCCGTAAAAAAGACAAGCACATACATGTACAGAGACTACAATACAGAACCATGAATAATCAATCACCTTCTTATATTTGATCAAGGCAATCCTTACAGTATATGATAGTGAGATGGGACTGGAGTATTCACAGTGGCCCCTTAATCAGAGGGAATCACACACACTCAGCTCCTCTAACTCCCTCATCTCAGACAAGCTCCCACTTTGATAGATCAAACATAAACAGGCCTTGATCAATGGATAACTAATCATAAAAACCCCGCCGCTTCAAGACCGGGCCTGCTACGACAGATTTTCCAAGTGTAAAATGCTCATGATCATTCGGGCCCAGTGATTTAGTGATGCTGGAGCAATTACTGTGAAGCCAGCCTCATCATCAGAGCGATAACCGGAGTCTCAGCAGGGCGTCACTTACTGAGGAGCGTACTGAGGAGAGGAGCAGAGCCGTCAGGATTCTGCTCGGTCAGAGACACTACAATGTAAAGACCTCTCTTTCTTTAATGAAAAATTATCAAAAATGATTGTTCGAGTGAAAGAGGTCAGAATGATGAAGCTTGTGATGAACTGTTCAGATCGAATAAAGTCTGAATAAAGTTGGGACTTCCAGCAGTGCTGACTCAAAGAAACTCTCTGGTCTTCATAGAGAACCGCAGTGACGCGTCATAAAACCCGGAAGTAAGTTAGCACTTCTAGCACTTCCGGTTCCTTCGTCAAAAAGCAATGCATTTTCTCCATAGGGTTTTGGAAAATAGCTCGAAATAAGGTCTGTGGTTGACACAAATTTAAGAGATAAATCACGTTTTGTTCTACGACATTGTCGTAGAACAAAACGTGATTTATCTCTTAAATTTGTGTCAACCACAGACCTTATTTCGAGCTATTTTCCAAAACCCTATGGAGAAAATGCATTGCTTNGGATTCAAGGATTATGTTGTCGATGACGCTAATAAGAAGAGAACAGCGGTATGCAGGGTCTGCAGCATAAAGATCAGTGACAGGACCACCACAACATCCAACTTCATTCGTCACTACAAAAAACCCCACAGAGAAAGGTGCGTGCATGTGTTGTGTTAGCTAGAAAGCTAACGTTAAGTTTAAGCTACGTTAGACTTGGTTTCAAATCGATTAAGCATTAAGAGAAGACAAAACGGGGTAAATGAACACTAGAACCGCCAAGAGATTCATTTTGACTAACCTTGATACTGACGGGCTGTCAGGGAGAGAGAGAGAGAGAGAGGAAAAGAGATGCCTCGTTTATTTCCCCTGTGTTATTATCAGAAGTTACTGTAAACTTTTGAATAATGTAGTTCACCTACTTTTAGTAGTTTGTTTAAATGTTTTAATTGTGTTGTTTTTGTTTGTAGAAGTGCATCATTCCTTGATTTATTGTAAAATGAATCTGAACTTTTTGATCTGTTATGATGATAAACTGAAGCAATTTCTAAATTAAACCAATTAAGTGAGTTTTAAATCGTCCTACTTAGTTTATAATGAAATTATGAAGAGGAACAAATGAAATGGTTTAAAATGATATCTATGTAGGTGCTGACGCTGTTGGCGGTTCTAGTGTTAACAGAAATTTAAATTAAATACGTGTAATGGCAAATGCCATATATGATTTTCTTACCTGGAATTCTGCCTTTTTGAACAGACTTTTTGATTGAGTCCTAGCTATATTGTCTGCAGTTCTAGGGTTAATATGAATCTAATATGATTGTCATCGGACTAAATTAGATTTCAAATGATTAACTATGTATGCAATGAAGATCATAGTGTGGGTTGAATCCATTTTCATAACCACTGTCTTTTAACCGATTTAAATGCGGAAACTGGGCTTATTCATCAGAATTTTGTATGACTTGACTTGCTTGACCTGAGCAATGACTTGACTTGACTTGCTTGACTCTCACCACAGTGACTTTGGACTTGCCTGATACTTGTAGGTCAAGACTTGAGACTTGGTCATGACTTGCACATGTAGGACTTACTCCCACCTCTGAAGATACATTCATAACAAACGTAAAGTGAGAGAAAATGTGTTTCTAGAAGATATGTAGAAAATAAACGTATTTGAGATACGTTCATAACAAACATAACGTGGGAGAAAATATGTTTGTTGCTAAACGTAATTGAGATTGCAGTTTCTGTGGGAACGTAATTTTTAGGAGACAGAGTTGGATTTTTCATCCAATCACAGAGCTTGTTGACTTACTACAATGTTTGTTGCAAAGTGGACAGGCATCGTCACAACAATAGCTGGGGATTGTGGGTAGTGCAGTCTCTTTGGCGCTCCACATTTCAGAGAAAACAAGTTGTTTCTCAGAATTGAAGGGGAAAAACACAAAAGCATTGTACACAATTTAAACCTATCAATGTCGTTTAATTAACAAAGGTAATCTGGTGTTTTTGAGTTGATGAGTAGTGGATATATCACTGTCAAATCAATCGACAGTAAGGAGAATACTTACTTCCGGGTGTACAATTCTCCGTTATCCAATGGGAATGGACGCTCACATTGCCTTTAAGAGCTGCCGACATAAACGGGTGCGGTGCTTCCCTGAGCGTCAAATACTGCCGCCGATGGGAATACATTGCAATCAGTTGAAAGCTCTTTGTGTCCGTTTATGAAGCTAAAGGAGCCTCGGTGCGTCCCAACTGCACGCCACGGTCACCCTGACCAAGCGTCGCTCCTGGACGTTTAGGGAGTGAGAGTGTGTTGCCAAAAACATATTTTTTAAGAATAGCAAATATAACTTGTGAAGGCCACTGTAGCTCCGCTTCGTCTGAGGAAACAAGCTGTTTGAGTGGTGAGGACTCTCTGGGAGAAGTGGTGCTGTAAAAAGAAGCTGGGGATGGACCACAGCTCCACCTCACTGATTAGTGTCTGAAGCAGCTAAAATGAAAACACAAACATTTCAATTGACTTTTCCAGGGTGTGTCCTAGCGACCGCACCCCCCTACGTTCAACCCACTTTTCAGCTTCTTAATCTGTTTTAAGGTCATTCAGATTTGGCGCACAACATTTTCTCCTTTTTTTGTATTAAGTCCCACAAAGAGTTCACCTGGAAGTCTCCAAGTTCCAGAAGAAAGTACAGTTTTTTCACATTAATACTGACAAAGAGTAAGCAGCTAGAGAACATAAGCTGAAGTAAAATAAACTGTTTTTTACTTTAAGGCTTTCAACTGGGCCATGTTCTTGTATTCATATTGTGTTTTCTTACATTATTTAAATATATGTAACACTTCTTAACTCCAGAGAGCTGTTTAGACCAGGAGAAAGTATTCATGACCACTTTGTTAAAAAAGCTTTTGTTGTGAAAAACACTTTGTGGTCATTTCCATAAACCTTTAATTTCTTTCTGCTCCAAATTATGGCTAAGGTGCTGTGGTACTTAAATACTATTATCTTCAAAACGGTGTTGTTCTTTTTCTGTGCACTAGTGACTTCTCCAAAAGAAGATTCTAAAAACACTTTTTTTGTTGTTTAAAGTTTTCGGTTTTGTTTATTCAAATTAAAGATATGAATAAGGCTTTTCAAATCAACAGAGGAGGAGCTCAAATAATGGTGCTATTATCCATGCAAGCCACTTCGCCACTTTGGCAACAACAAGACATACCATACTTTAGCTTCTTCCTGTCACCTTTTCGTTACATTTTCTATGCTGCACATCTCTTAACATAATAAAAAGGAATAGTGAAACGTTTTTTGCTGGATTTACATTAACAGCTCAGAAAAATCAAGATACAAATGAGTCAGCATCAGCAGAAACTCCTGCAAATGCTACATAGACTTTGAAAAAG